GGAGTCAAGGAGACCCCCATCCCCTCCTCCCCCTCCCTTCTCTTCCTCTCTGCCACGGATAAAGACTTCACATGCTTTCTGCTGCCGGTATGTAAAATTAACATGTGCTGATGGGGGAGACACTGCAGAAAAGGTACGGAGAGGACAGAACAGGGGCACAGCCTTGGGAAATAGGACAGAAGGGGCCAGGGAGCACACAGTGCCTTTGGACACCACGTCCCCACCCAGCTGGCTCAACTCTCGTGCACAGAGCGTGAATTCCTCTTACCAGGTGTGCAAATGCGAAGCCTTCTTAGTTAGCGGGCTTCAGGGATGGAGAGGAAATCCTCAAGAGGCTTGCGTAACAGCCCAAACATTTGTGGTCCCGGAGGATTTCTTCTTTGCTCTCTCAGAGCATCTGCCCCGTGAGGTTCACTTTTCTCTCTCCGCATCTCTCGGGCCAACTTGACTATTTGCCGCAGTTTTCAGCCAACAACACCCGTTCAGAGGAAAGGAGGTGAGCAGTGGATGCTTTCAAGTCAGGAGTAATTCGTGGGTTGGTTTGATTGTTGTACCTTTCAAAAAAAAATATTTTTTATAGCCCTACCTCCAGCCGCTGGAGGCGGGGTGAACTGTTGCAGAGAATGCTCTTCGTCCTTGTCTTTCTCTACGTCTGTGGTTCTCAAAGTGGGGTCCCTGGACCAGCAGCGTCAGTATCACCTGGGAATTTGTTAGAAATGCTGTCTCTCAGGCCCCACCCTGGCCCTCCTGAATCTGACCCTCTGGGGGTGTGCCCTGCAATCTGTGGTTTAACCAGGTCCCCAGGTGATGCTCATATGCTCTAACGTTGCAGGAGGCTGCCTCTGCCCCCAGCATTTTAGCATTTCCCTAATTGGATGAGGCTTTCAGGCTTCTTTGCAGAGAGGTTTTCTTTGTTTGCTTTTTTTTTTTTTTAAACTTACTCATGCACTTTCCTAAGGAATCTTGTTTCATTCAGCTCTACCCATTTCTTCCCCATTTTGTGTAGTCTTCTCTACCCGGAATGCCCTTTCTTAATGTTTGAGGAGAGCTCATTTTGCCCAGAACTTCTATACCTGTTTTGCAGTGTTGGTTCTTTGTGCCTCAGGGGCTGGCCAGCCTTCCTCGGGGTTCCAGCGGCCTTGGAAGTGCCTTTGTGGCCGCACCTCAGGGAGATGATTGCCTATTCCTATTTCGCAGAATAACCAGAGCTCTTTCTGACAGTTTCCTCTGGTTTGTGAAAAGCAACACTCTCAGTGATCTTGAGCATTATTTATAAAATGTAAAGTCACACCTTTTACTGGAAAGTCTTCTAAATCTGGATTAGCAGTGCAGAGCGATTGAAGTCCATAAATGCTGAGTTTCTGAGAAAACAAAACAAAAAGGTGACATATGGGTGGAAAATACCACTTCGTGGGTAGAGAAGCTTCTGAACAGTTGAGCGGTGTGATTTTTTTTCCCAGGAGAGGTTATGGAAGTCCTACTTCAGAAGTCACAATTCAGCCTGGTCACAGAAGGAGATTCCAGATGTGGATCTAATGGCCTTGAGGGTGGCATTGACCGTTACAGGGCAGTGCATTTGGGGGATTGTCCAAGGGCAGGGACTACCTTGTTATAGGAATAGAAGCCCACCCAAAGTAGCTTATGAAAAAAGGACCTTTATTAGAAGGATATGGGGCATCTCACAGAAGCCCCCGCTTAAGGACTGGAAGGAAAGTCAGCCGCGTTGTTTGTCCTGGGTTTCTGGGATCTCCTGATGTCTTATGCCCATTTCTGGGTCTGTTTCATACATATTTTTCTCTGCAGACTTGCCTTTTTTCTTTAGTAGCCAGTTAGCAGAAAATGATCCAGTGGGTGAAAAAAATAGTGTCTTGTCATCTTAATTTGCACTTCTCCAATTTTTTTTTTTTTTTGCGGTACGCGGGCCTCTCACCACTGCGTCCTCTCCCGCTGCAGAGCACAGGCTCTGGACGCGCAGCCTCAGCGGCCATGGCTCACGGACCCAGCCGCTCCGCAGCATGTGGGATCTTTCCAGAACGGGGCGCGAACCCACGTCCCCTGCATCGGCAGGCGGACTCCCAACCACTGCGCCACCGGGGAAGCCCCACTTCTCCAATTTTTGAGTGAGAATCAGCATCTTTTCTTCCTTATTGGTCATCTGCAATTGTTTTTCTGTGACCCACCTGTGTACGTTCTGGGCTCTTTTTGGATTGAGCAGCTTGCTTGATTTCTACTTCATACTATGTGAAGGGAATTGGTGACCCATCTGCTCTCCCTGCCCCTTCTTTGTCTTTCTGTTGTCTGTTTATCTTTTTATCTACACACACACACACACACACACACACACACACACACACACACACACTCACTCATCTTTAAAGTCAGCCATTGGCAATGTAACTAGACTTGCTTCTGACAGTGCTTTGAATTGAGCCTCCATTCATTCCTCAAACGTCTATTGAGTGCCTGCTGTACCGGGGGCCAGGGAGACAGAGATACATTTATTTGATACAGTCCCAGACCTTAGAGCACATCTCTGGGAGGATCGGATTTGAAAGCAGGTGTTACAGCTGAGTTAGGAAAACCTCATCCAGCTCCCTAGCTGTCAGCTCCCTGAGGGCAGGGATGATGCTGTGAGCTCTCAGAGCCCCTCCCCAGCCTGGTGCCTATTCATAGGGCTCAGAAAACCTAAATGATGTTGGCGGAGAGCACGTAGGGCTGTGAGTGTCCCAGGCTTTGATTGGATAAGATTTCCAGCTGAGAATATCCTGATGGCGCTGACCTGTCAGCTCTGTCCATGCCAACCACCTGGGACCAGGATTGCATAAAACCCTAAGGACTCAGTTGTGCTAAAGGGTTTGTGACAGTCACTGTAATTCATAAGGCTCCCTCAGGAACTAAAATAGGTAACAAAGCCACGGAGTCAAAGCAGAGGCTCTTGGGGACAGATGTTATGAACCTGATATTTTTAGAACATTGGGGTAGACATGACATTTTGGAGGGTCCCTTAAGTTCCCCTACGTTGCTCTCACACATCTTGCTTCGTACTATGCCTGATCCCGTGTCTGATCGCTCCCCTGGGGTTTTTTTTGTCTCATCCAGGTACCTCCCCGGCTGTGGCTGGTTCCCATCATGGTTTACTATGGACTCTACCCGTTTTTCTTACATCTGGTTAACCCCTGAGCCTGCTTGTTAAAATGCTGACTTCTGGGTCCCACCCAAGACCTGCTAAACCAGAGTCTTCGGGCGCAAGGTCTGGGAATCTGTAGCTTCAGATCGAATGATCCTGAGGAGAGACCAAATTTGGGAAACAGACCTGGAGCTTTGCTTAATAGCTGTGCTTAGGGTCTGGATCCTGAGTGTTCAGGCTTTGATGTGATAAGATTTCCTTCTGGGGACCCATGTACAGTTTTCTCAGCCATACAGCAGGGCTCGTAATATCTGTGAGCTGGCAGTCAGCTGCCCATACTTGCTGGCTCAATGACACGACCCCCTTTTTCCTATGTTGCATCAGCCCTCATCATTCCCCAGCCCAAGTTCAGGGATTCCCGGTGTGTTTGACCGAGTCTACACCCTATGAGGAGGTTGGTATGTCGGGGATCCTAAAGGGGTTGAAGGACAGGCTCGGGGTGTTCCAGGCGGACCACCCTCCCTACTAGAATTTCTCTGGGAGCTTCCCACCCTACACTTTCAGGCCCTTTGTGCAAGCTGGAGCCAGTCCAAAGCTTGGCTCAGGCCAGTATCCAATGGCCAGGGCACTGACGGGGCTGCTGCTTCATCCATTGGCATCACCAGCCTCTGTATCATCTGTAGAGCGGGCGTCAGGGCCCCTGCCCCGCCTGGATCACAGGGCTGCATAAGGGTTCTGTGGGCTGCTGTGCGGCGACCCCCCTGCAGCTCAGACATGCTAACGAAGACCTTCTAGCACCTCTTCCCCCCAGCCCCCGAGAGGGAGCCCTGCCCTCCCTCTCCCTTTGGGAGCTGTGTTCTGTGAAGGCAGGAAGAGGAGGGTGGGGCAGGGAGACAGCTGGTGGGGTGGAAGTTGGGAAACAGAGAGGAGGAAGGAAGGAATGCAGAGGGTTTTGTTTCATTCATATTATTAGTGTTGTTTAATGTGTTTGAGGGCTTCCTCTGTCTCCGAGGCTGTGCTGGAAGCTGTATGTGCCCACTGACTGTGCACCCCAGGACCACGAGGCTGCAGTCGTGTCATCCCCCTTTACAGTGAGGAAACCGAGGCCGAGTAGTAAGGGGTGGACCTGGGATTCGAACCTCTGTCTGTGTGACACCTGAGCTCTTAGGAACATCTCTAGGCTACCTCAGAATATTTGAGGGGTGTTTTAAACACCCGGTCCAGGTTCCTTTCCACTTCTTGCCTTTCTTGTGCCAGTGGAGTCCTGGTGTCCCCAGCTCTCCTCTTCCGCAGTGCTCAGGGGAGGACCCCAGGGCTGTGTGTGCTGCCTGAAGGCTGGGAGTTGGTGGGGTGTTAGCTGCCACCTACTTACCCCCATCCCCACCCCCCAGGCTTGACTCCAGCCAGCATTTCCCGCTGAAGACCTCAGGTCTCCGAGCCTGGGGTCCGTGTTTGCTGAAGCTCAGGAAATAGACTAGATTCTGGGGCCAGTGGCCGTGGTGCAACCCTTCTGGGCTGCCTGAGACTCAGGGTCTGGCCCAGGCTCAGAAGCCCTCCCACTGGTGATCAGACATAGACGATCCTGCAGAGCAGTTCTTGCCCCTGCAAGAGGGTGTTGTGTTTTTTCGTTTGTTTGTTTAAATGTACAAGGCTATATTTTATTCAGTTAGGTACAGTATTCTACATATCTCCATTTTTCATGGAATTTGTTAATCCTGTGTTTCAGTTCTTTGATGTCATTTTAAAAATTTTGTGCCTGCTTGATTTTTCAGTTTTGACAGAGGTGCTTTAAAGTCCTAGTTTTGGAGGCATGTCCACTTCTTGCAATTGTGAAAGTTTTCTTGGCCACACCACATGGCTTGCAGGATCTTAGTTCCCTGACCAGGGCTCGAACCCGGGCCCTCTGCAGTTTAAGTGCAGAGTCCTAACCACTGGACCGCCAGGGAATTCCCTGCAAAAGGGTGTTTGCGAGGAGCTTTTGCGTCCTTCTGTTTCCACATGCTCTGTCCCTGCCAAGGGCATCCGGGGTGTGCGTGATCAGGACCCAAGAACCCAGTTCCTCCTAGGCTGGTACCTGTGGCTATTTCACCTGATAGCCAGTGGGGGCAGCAGAGAGCTACTACTCAACCAAGAAAACTGACCAATCATGAGCCAGGAGTCCACTGGTGGGTGGGGCAGAGTGTGGGAAGGGGAGGGGGAAAAGGGTGGGGGACAAAGCTCACAGATTCCCCCAAGGCAGATGAGGTCCAGGGGCTCACTGACTTTCCCACTGAAAGCTCGTACCTTGCAAAGCATGAAGGATGTAGTCTTAACAAAGGGAAACGAAGTCTACAAGTGACTCTAAAGTTAATAACTCCTGCCTTGCTTACTGTTTTTTAAAAATAATTATAATAATAATTATTCTTATTTTAAGGAAGGGGCGTCTGTGCTCTGAAATCACATTTACATCACTTTCCACCTTTCAACTATACTCTCTCTTTAAAAGTTTTATTCTACATGGGCAGCCACTGTAATCCACTGATGGGGAAATGGAAATTTCTGGCTTCTCACGTGGATGGCTAGAATAGCAACCTCCCTTGGTCCGATTTGATCCACGGTCAGCAGTCAGCTCATTTGTGTGTGTATCTGTCTCCCCTGTTTTCAGCGGAAGAGGTTCGAGTTGGGTTAGAGTTGCCTTTAGGAAACAATGTGTTTCTCCTGAATTGGGTCGGACGGTCAGAGGCTTTCCAAGCACGGGTTTCACTCCTTCCACCCTGTCCTCACTGGCCCCCACCCCCCACCCAGAGCCTTTGGGGCCTGCATGGCAGTGACTGTTAGCAGTCTGGGTGGTCACCTGGAATGACCTAGCACCCCAGGATGGAAGCCCAGAGAACGCAAGGGGGCCTCAATCCAGGGTAGCCTGAGCCCCGAGCTGCCACTTCAGTTTTGCTTTGGCGCTATCGGGGAGCCTGGTGTGCTGTAAATAGATTAGGGAGTCTTTTATTGAAAAAGACCTGGAAATGGTTTCCTGCCTGTGTGTGGTGTGGTCATCTGGGGTGATTTTTCCTGCTGTCGATGAGGTCACTCAGCCAGAGCCCCGGGGGCTCTCTCCAGATGTCCGCCTGGCCTGCCCCATGCTCACAGTGGCTTTGTATTTTGGGCTGACCAGAGCTGGCTAAGACCAGGAGGTGGGCTGGGCGGAACCCTTCAGGCATCTGCATTGTCCCTGATGGAGTCCTGGTGGAGGTTGGATAGAGAGATGGCGATACAGGAGAAGGGATTCCTGCCTCTGGGGGCCTGTGAGTGACCCAGGCCGGCGAGTACAGGGCAAGGGGCCTTCCTTCGGGCCCTAGCATCTAGAGCGTGGTTCTGACTGCAGGCAGCATCCCCCTGTGGTTTCAGAGCCTTCTCCCGCAGTCCGCTGGGAAGGCTGCATGGAGGAAGAGGCGTTTTAGTTGGAACTTGGCAAATGAACACGATCCTGACATCCAGGGATGGTGGGGGCAGGAGGTGGTGAGGGTGTGTAAACAATCAGAGCAAAGACATGTTCCGAGACCAGCAAGTGAGTTACCTGGGCTGGAGTGAGGTCAGTGGGAGTCAGTGTGGACAGACAGACAAGGTTGCTGTGCTGGAGCCTCGCTGGCCGAGAGATGGGCGTGGGGATGACAAAGCTTGGACTTTGTTCTCTGTGCCTTGTTGGAAAGGAGGCGCAAGGGGTTCTTCAGGTGAGCGCTGACCCTGAGTGGGGAGACACGTTAGGGGTGAGGTGGAGAGGAGGTGAGGAAAGTGATGGAGGGGGCACCTCCAGGCCCCAGGAACTGATTGCATGTGGGTGGTGGGACCTGGGAGGAGCTGGTGAAGCCGTGGAGGTTGGTCCCTTGAGCCCCAGGGGGTTGGGTTGGAGGGGAGAGCCTGAGCTGGGCGCTGTGGATGTGGAGACAGCAGTTTGGCCTCCAGGTGGGGTCGATCCAGCGGGCGGAAGAGAGGCCTCTTTAGGAAGGAGATGGAGGCTGCAGGCCACGTCTGGTCTCTGCTGGAGCCCAGCTCACTTTGTAGGAAGGCTGTTTTCTCATCTGAATTCCCCCCCATTTCTACATCCAGCCTCGCTAGTCTGTTTGCTTTATTTAACTCTGATAAGGCACTTACTGTGTGCCCTTGTCATCCTAAGCACCTTACATGTACTAACCCATTTCATGCTATTACAGCCCTAATTAGGTACCATTTTTATCCCCATTGTACAGCTGAGAAAAGCAAAACACAGGGTTAGATGGCTTCCGAAGGTCACTCAGCTCCTGAGCGGCCAGGCCTAGGATGCTTTCCACTGCCCTCGGCCTCAGAGCAGTCTGGTGGTCTTCATGTAGATTCTCCAAGTCTTGGTGTGCTCAGCACCAGCCCGAGCGTCCCTCCTCCTCCAGGGAGGCTGCCCTCTGGCCACCCCTCCTAGAAGACCCCTCTGCTCTCTTGTTCCTGGTCACATCCTCCCTGCTGCTTGCCTTTTGCTCACCCTCCTTTTTCTCTCCCTTAAGACATGAAGGGACCGTATTACCACCCGACTCCTAGAGCCATAAGATCCTAAAACCCAAACAGTAGATCTTAAGGTTTTGAGACCACCAATCAAAGCTGGAGGGCAAGAGTATTGGGGCCTAAAGGACCAGTCAGCCCGACCCTTTCATTTTAGATGAAGAATCGGAAGACCAGAGAAGTAGCGTGACTTGCCCAGGGCTGCACAGCAGATAAGGGTCAGAACTGAGGGCAAACCGCAGTTCTCTCGAATCTTAATTCACAGAAGCCATTGAAAGATTGTGTTAGTTTTTGCTTTAAATATTTGAGACAATTGAATTTTCAGTAAGAGAATTTTGGACTAAATAATGTCATATCCATATATTGGACTAACTTTAAAAATAACTTGATGCTAAAAGCTTATAAATGGGCATTTGGCATGGACACAACAGCTGCCTCGGGTGGGTGCCATTATTGATCTCATTTTACAGAGGTGGAAACCGAGGCACCAAGGGGACGATTAGCTTGGTCAAGGTTAAACTGGTGGTGAGAGGCAGAGCTGGGATTCAAACCCAGGCATCTGTCTCTAGACTCACTGCTGTTAATAGATCCTAACCCCTGTGCTATCCGGCCTTTTTAATGGTTTTGGAAAGATACCCACAGAAGTCCATAGATGAAAAGAATGTACAGTATGATTTTGTTTTGTTCCAAAGATGTACATAGGCCTAGAAAACAAATCAGCACACAGGTACCCAAATGTTTAGTGATGACCTCCGAGTTGTGGGACTACGGATGATACTTTTTCTTCTTTGCACTTTTTTCTACATCATCACGTTGTAAATAGTGAGAAAGTATTATTTTTATCACTAGATAATTTTATGAGAAGTCTCTGCTCACAGCAGTGAGATGGGTAAAGTAGCGTTTGGGGGATGATCATATAGCTGCAATCTTAGCTTTATTTCTGGCTGGGTATTGGAAGAGAGAGAAGTGTTCAATCGGACACAGCAGCTGTAATTCACACGAGACGTGGAGTTGTAGAACCAGGAAGGAAGTCTCCGCCAATCACCCAGGTCTCTGTACAGACCCCCGGCCAGGGCTCCTTCCTCTGGGCTTTGGGGTTTCAGATGACAGTGGGCATTTGGGGAGTGATGCCCGGTTGATAGCTGGGGTTCCAGGACGAGGGACCGAAGTGGAGATGCACGAGTTGGCAGCCTCGCAGGAGGAGAGGGGCAATGGGGACTTTCACAGGATCCCAGCCAGAAGGCCACCTCCTTTTGGTCCCAGCTGCATGGAGAAGGGTCCCCAGCAGAGAGAAGCTTTGTTGTCATGGGAGGGCAGGAGAGGAGATGGATATGGGAGCAGAAGGCGGACTCCTGCTTCCCGGGTTTAGGGAGGGAGGTGACCCAGTTCTGCTCTGCGACACTCGGAGCTTCTGCCCTAGCAAATTCTCAGCGCGATTGTGTTTTTTTCTTTCTTTGACCAGAGACCACCTGGGAGCGTCCCAGCAGTTCTCCTGGGATTCCAGCCAGCCCTGGCCCTCACAGAAGCTCTCTGCCTCTGACAGGTACCGTCCACGCACTACTTCGGGGCACCTTGGGGGCCGGCTGGGAACCACACACACCTTCAAGGGGGAGGCCACGGCTCTGGAGCCTGGGCCTGAAACCTGGCTGCGGATCGTACGGGCCAAACCTAGGGAGGGGTCTAGAGAGCTTGGAGGCCCCATAGCCTGTTGCCCCGTGGGATGGCAACACTCTAGTAGTGCCGGCAGCAGCTCTGGTCCCTCTCACTCGCTCTCAGGTGGTCAGGGAGGTGGGGGGTGGGCATGGCTGGGTGAGGTGAAGCGTCAGAGCTCTTAGCTGTCTGCCAGTGTAGGGACCCAAACTGGGGGCAGACTCGGTCCATGTGGTTCCCGAAGGCCTCAAGGAATAGGAGTTAAGGAGGCAGGTGTTTACAGGGCAGCTTTCAAACAGAATGTCTGGAAAGCAAATGGATTCCTTGCAAGGATATGAGTTCTCCATTAGCATAGGTAATGAAGCAGTGGTGGTCAAGGCAGACATTCCTGTAATAGGTGGAGGGTTTATTACTCTTAGGATACATCTCATTCTGGGATCCCAGGAGGTGGGTTGCAGGACACACCAGTGGGGAGAACACCTTCTGACTTCTTGTGGATTAGACCTTGCATTAAATGTCACCTCCTCTGAGAAGCCTTCCTTGATGGCTCAATTTACAGTCCTCTCCCATCACTCTGGATCCCCGCTTCCTGCTGTTGCACTGCCCTCAGAGTACTCCTCCCTGTTGGTTGTCACTCTCCCACCCCAGACTGTAAGCTCCCCGAGGTGGGGACTCTGTCTCTCCTTTCGTGGACTCCCCCGTCTCCAGTGGAGCCTGAGCTTTGAGTGAATTCACAAACGTGGTGTGTAAACCTGGAATTTGAACATCAGTAGCACTGACAGTGTGGGACAGAGGAGGGGAGGCATGGGCTGGGGGAGGGGGGTTGGGCAAAAGCAGCAGTGACATCCCCTGCTCACGTGGAGGGGAGGGGAGATGAGAGCCCCGTACCCTTCTCGGAACATGAATAATTTACCGAATGCATCACAGGAAACCAAAGGAAGAGCTGAAAGTCATAAGAGGACTCTTAAACCCTGGATTGGGAAGGGAGCCGTGCCCAGTGTGAGTGGGTCAGGCCCCACCTTTCCCAGTGGGGTGTCTTTCAGTCTCCTTCACCACTGAGAAATCAAAGTGGGATCCAAGCACGTTATTTAGGGCTGTGAAGATTGCCAGCCACAGAACTCAGAACCCAAGTGGTGCAGAACAGACCTGGAGAATCAACTGAGGTCTGGGAGAGGGGATTGGGGGGTTGCTTCCCACAGAAAGTTCTTCTAGACTTTTAAAATGTTTTTATTTATATTTGTGTGTGTGTATATGCATGTATACACACACACACACATTTTTTTCGTTAAATTTTTAAAAAAGGAACCCCCTGTGGGGCAGGGAAATGGGGCATTTCCTCCCGGTTTCCTAGGGATGCAGCCAGTGCTACATTCTCAGACCAAGTCCTCAGAAATGGGGCCATTCGGCCTTCCTAGCTGTCATATGACAATAGGCATTTCCTGGCACGCTGCCTTGTCTTTTGTTGCTGTTCTTGTGATTTTTTTTTTTAACAATAGAAATGGTAGTGTGAATAAAGTGAGGTGTGGCCCTCTATCCTGGCTGGCTCCAGGCCACCCAGACGCTAGAAAGAAAACCCAGGTGTCTTTTCCGGCCAGAGGGATCCACGGAGCATGACACAGGCAGGGGGAGGCTGGGTCGTGTGAGATGACAGGTGACAATGGCCCAGCCTGCCACCCTGCACGGCTTGCTACACGGGGCTGCTGAGGCTGGTTAGGGAACTTGCCCTCTGGGTCAGTGGGGTCACCTCTCCAAAGCCTGCTGTCACTGGCCCCAGCAGCATCCTCTTGGTGGGGCCATCCCCCAGAAGGACTGAAAGAAGCTGGCTCAGGTCACCAGCCCAGAGGCCCCGGCGTGACAAATTCCTGCCTTCACGTCTAGCACGAGAGCCACGATAACCCAGCACTGCGCTGGGTGCCGGGGCTCTGAGGGGCTGAGAAAGGTGGGAGATGGTGGAGAGGGTCAGATCCGGGGATGAGAATTGCGAAGGTGGCCAAGGCATCAGACAGACTTAGGTGGACCCCCAGGGGCCGTGGGCATCTGCTTCCCACGTCCCTGGGATCCCAAGTCTGTCCATTTCTCTGTGAGAAAGGGCTTTGTAGTCAAAGACAGTTGGAAATCCTGTCTACTCTCTTCCCCTTTGGAGAGCACACATCAGCTCAGAGAAGGCCTGAACTGAAGACCCCGTCTAACTTGGTGCTTCTGTCCTTGTGTGTGTTTGTCTGCGTCACACGTACATACTTGTTAAGCCTCCCTGGCTCTAGTGCAGTGGTTGTCAACTTGGGGGTGATTTTGCCTTCAGGGGACATTCGTGGCTGTCACCAGTGGGGGGAAGAGCTACAGGCATCTAGTGGGTAGAGGCCAGGGATGCTGCCGAACGTCCTACAATGCACGGGACGGCACAGCCCCACAGTAAAGGGCCGTCCAGCCCCGCTCGTCAGCAGCGCCGGGGTTAGTAGAAGCTCTGTTCTAGAAGGACTCAGAACCTCGGCTCAACACTGCTCTCTGTGGGATGATGGACGACAGTGAGAAGCGGCCGCAAAACATGCAGGACCCCAGCTCATTGACTCTCAGACCCACGTTTTGTTTCCCAGTTTTAACATCTTGGAAATCAATGGCGTATCCTTGTCTGATTGGAAGCATCTTTTTTTTTTTTTTTTTTTCTTTCTCAGCGGTACTTAAAATAAGGGTGCCTCTAACAGTCAGTGATGTCTTAGGTTTGTGAAATTGCAACTCCTTAGACAGGGGCCTCGGGCACACCCCTTCTCCTTGCCAGGCCTCACTTCGTCCATTTGTAAATGGGAGGAAGACCACGGCTGAGGTCCTGTCCAGCCCTCCGTGGTTATGATTTGTGGCCCTCTCTACCCTGGGGCATGAACACACGTGTCAACTCTCCATCCACCCTCTGGGATGGAAGCGAAGAGAACCCACCTGTGAGGGTATAGCAGGATCCGAGGTATTTTGACATCATCTTTTCTGGTTTTTGAACTGAACCTTCTGTCTAAAGAATAGAAGAATAACTGTGTTGGTATTTCTCTCTACAGGAGAGGGCTAGGATTTTTCCAGCCATTCTTTCGTTCAGTTTTATAAGCAGCTTTCAGGAGATTGAATTTTATTGTGGGGAGAGAAATAGACTTGATGAAGACATGAGGTAGCTTCAAAAACTGACTGTCCCCATCCTTGGGCTCCCGGGGCTGTGGGCACCTTGCCTGGAGACCACTCAGGGCCCTGGATCTCAGCCTCTTTTGTTCTGCTTCTGCTTCTGCAAAGCAACAGTGGTGGACTTGCAAACCTTTTCATTCAAAAAATATGCCAGACGTTGTTCTCAGTACTGGGGATACAGCCACAGACAAGCCAGTCCTTGTGTGGTCCCTGCTCCCGGGAACCTACATTCTAGTGGCAGAGTTGGACAAACAGGCAGACATGGAATACGTCAGATGTTCGTCGCATGGGCAGCAGGACAGAGTGTGTGACTGGGGCATGAGGGGTGGCCTCAGTGAGGAAGTGATGTTTCGGTCAAAGCTTTAAAGACACGGAGAAGACGGTATGTGTGTGGGGTGGTGGTGGAGTGTTCTAGGCCAAGGAACAGCTAGTGCAAAGGCCCTGGGGCAGGAGTGACCTCGGCATGTTTGAGAACAGAAAGCAGACCGGTGTGGCTGGGGTGTGGGGGACAAGAGGGAACATGGTAGGCGATGAGGGGAGGGGAGTCAGCAGGGACCAGAGGAAGGTGTTGGGATTTCATTCTGAGCGTGATGGTTGGGATGGGGGTGAGAGTGAAATGCAGTGGAAGTGTCTTGTCTTCCTGGGAAGCCGCCTTCTTGAAGCAGTTGGTTAGCAGTGGTGGGGTTGGGGGTTCCCTGCAAGGAGGTGGGGGGCGGTAGTGGTAAGGACGATGTGGAAGGAAAACTTGACCACATTTATTGACCACAAGCATCCCATATGGTCGTTCCTGAAGATCATGGACAAACAGGTCAAAAAGAACGTGGGCGGGAACCACAAATGAACCCAGCCAAGCCAAGCTTAGGCAGGTCCCCTTTGAGGCGGCCGAGGGGTGGAGGGTTTACCCATGGGGCTCAGGGTTACTTTTGAGTTGAGCTTCTGGAGGGAGTTGGAAGGGCCACCCATGAACAGGACCGGTTCGTTCTTCTCAGTGCAGGTTTGTCAGATGCCTGAAGCACAGCCAGCCAGGTTACCAGCTGGGGAGAGAGATCTGGAAACACACCCAGTGCCCCCACAAATGGGATTCCACTCTCTGAATGTTGGGGTCAGCACTGGGCCCAAGACTTTCCCTACGTGGCTTCCTCTCCGATCACAGTGGGACCTGTGTTCGTTCAGTAACTTCATTGGAGCCATTTAATGCCAGCTTTCTGGGGGAGGTCTACATAAGTCAACTTGAAACCCAAACAGGATACCGAAGGCGCTATTCAGCACGTGTTAAAAACCTTCTTTGGGCTGGTTTAACATACACTGTAACAGTAATGATTTATATGGAGAGAAATAGTAACAGACATATGGAAAGAAAATACGAGTGAAAAATGAGGTTCTGGGATTTTCATGTTATGCGTTACTGGGTAACACCAGATGACACCATAGACCAGTTCTGTCCCCTAGAACTTTCTGCGCTAACAGAAATGTTCTACATCCACACCATCCAGTATGGTAGCCACTGGCCAGCGGATGTGTCTACTCTGCCTGAGGAATGAATTTTTAATTTTATTTAACTAAGTACTTTTCAAATTTTGGAATAATTTTAGGTTTACAAAAAAACTTGTGGAGACAGTACAGAGAGTTCTTATATACCCTTTACTCAGTTTCCGCTAACGTTAACGTTTTACATCACCGTGGTCCAGTTGTCAAAACTAAGAAATCATTGTGGTACAGTATTATTAACTAAAC